TGAGCACAGACTGCAGGACCCTTTGCTGTACCTGCACATCTGCCCAGCCCTGCTGTCAAAGCAGCTCTCCTGGCACTGGGAAGTATTTACAGCCTGCGGCCGTCTCTGAGCTCCCTCTTCCACTCAGCAGGAGAGGAGGTTTTTGCATTCCCCAAAGGCTCTTCTAATGTGACTATCAGCATGTACATGAAACCCTGCAGAACTCCTGTGGTTGTCCAGCCCAGCACAGAGCCATGGCTCACCTCTCCTCTCCCAGCTAGCTGTGGAGCCAGGGGAAACAGAAAAGCAAAGAGGAAAATATAGAAAATTAAGGTTAGGAGGAGGCATCGAGGAGCTAAAAAAAAGGAGAATGCAGATTATTGTACTGTAAATAATGACTGAGGGGTTGTGAAACACAGGTCCTGGGGAGGTCCTCAGCAGTCCCTCCGGCTTGCTGGGGAGGATAGAGTGGCATCAACTGTTTGCACCTTTCATTGCTTCTGTTCTTGGGCTTTTCTGTGGGGCCACCTGTGTTCACATTGCCAGAGTAAAACAGGGTATGGAGTTCAAGCAGTACTTGAGGGAGGGGGAGATTGTTTTATTCTGGAGCTGAGTTTTTGTAATTGTGTGTGGGTTTTTTGGTACCCTTTTTTCTTCTTTTTTTTCTTCTTTTTGTCCGTAGCAGGTGCTGTCAGTTCTGCAATCTGATAGTTCAAATCTTAATTATTAAAGGACCATGTTGGATATAGAACTTTCCCCATCCCTCATAGCTGTGTGGTTACTAAAATACTGCTTAGTCTTCTGCCTCACCTCCTGTACTTACCTGTATTCTGAATCATCTTGGGGTTCACTGCTTGAAGAATAGGTTCAAATTCAAGTAAGATTAGACTGAACAAGACCCCTGAGAGATGCTAGGCCAGGGCTTGAAATGGACCTACTCATCCTTTAAAAGATCTTCTTGCTTCCACCTTTCTGACAACTGTGTATATAAAGCAACTGAAACTGGTCTCTGGTGATCTCTGTTATGAAGCATCTTAATGAGAATTGAGCAGCAATCTGTCTGCAGGTGGATTCACTTGACTGCTATCCCCAACATCCTGTGTGCTGAGTGCCTCCCGTGCTGTCCAGTGACTCTGAGCAGATGGAGTAACACTGCTGCACATCTGCCTGGCATAGCTGGGAAACTAATCTACCATATTTCAGAATTTCTCAGCTGGAAGTGTTTACAGCAGAAATTGATTTCTTTCCCAATTGCAAGTAAAATGCGAGCAATAATAAAGACCTTTTGTAGATGTCTAGGTGGATGATAAAATTTTTACAGGGAAAGTGTTAAGAGGGCTACAGGTGAGAAAAGGGTTATGGAAAGGGGTATGTTCACCACAAAGGTAACAAAACTACCAATTAGACTTGTGTTTTATTGGATTAATTCAGTTACAGCGTAGTATGGAGGGCACCTCCCCAGATCCTCCTCCCAAAACCCACACCAAACCAAAGAAGCAGCTAGAGCTCTGATGTATGTTTGGCAGGTGGAGGGCAATGGTTTTGGCTTTATATCAGGAAAGAGAGGAAGCCCTTCCCAGATGGAGAAGCTGTGGCATGGACACAGGCAGGGACACCACACAGAGTTATGCCCAAAGTCATCAAATGAGCACGGCTAACAGCACAGCTAAACCTAGTCTTGGGAGTGAGAGCCGAAGTCTGGATCCAGCACAGCAAGGGGGAGAGATGAGAGAGGCGTGTGGAGACTGTCTGTTCCAGGTCAGGTTTGTCTACACAAGCAGAAGAACATTAGAGTGCCCTGACATGAGACCAGTCACTAGGACTTATTCAGTGTTTTCATCCAGGAACTACCAAAGATGGTATTGTAAAATACTGTGGGAAGGGACACCATGGCAGGGCTGTGTTTGGCCAGCTCCTAGATGTTGGGATATATGGACACTCTATGTGCTGGTAAGAGGATCAGTAAGGGCAGCCAGGGAGAGTCCTGGGGCCGATCCCAAGGTGTATTCCTTTCTTAGTGGGAGGGATGTTACTGAAACAGCTCTTCCCCAGGGCATGGGCTGTAACAGGAGTTACTGCAGCAGTCAGGTATTACAAAGCCTTAATCTAGCAGTGCTCCTGTCAAGGAGAGGAGCACAAGCAGACACTGGTTCCAAAGAGACCATGAACAAGTTTTGAGACAGGGTACATGCAACCTGCCCCAGCTGAAAAAAAACAGATTTGAATCTATTGCAGGCATGACTGGAGCTATCCTAGGCCTCGTTCATTTAGTAGCCCCAGTAGATGACTGGGGTGTATGGTGGTTAAGTAGTGACCAATCTATCACTGGTCCTTGGGTCAGGAAGAGAGGGGCCACTGGGACAGTGCTGCACTTCTCATGTGATCTGACCTACCAGAGGGATGGCAGCCACCTCTCTACCTTGCAGGGAGCAATAAAATACAAGCTGGTAGCACAAGGGAAGGTTTCAATTGCAACTAGGGTGATTTTCTCAAGCACTGAGACTGACACAGTTTTATAAGGAAACCTTTTGATGGAAACAACAGGGATATTGTCATTTCTCCATTTCTCTAAGTTTCCTTGTCCAATTCAAAGAGATCAAAGAAATCAGGATCCCTATCGAAGTGGTCACGTTCTGCCCTCTTACCTAGAACTGCTGCACATGAGCTGAGTTCCTTCCTCAGGCTGAGGCTCTAGCTGTGGGAGGACAAATGCATTTCCAGCATGTAGGCAGCAGAGGTGAGAGACGCTGTCTGCATTTGGGTCCCGTGTGCTTTGCAAGCTACCCAGGAGTAGTGTGCTGTGGTGGCTGATCTTCCACTGCGTGCCTGGATCTGCCTCTTAGCACCCCTGTGCTCAGCCCTGAGGGACTCACTTGTCTGCCTCTGTGTCTTCTTTTCCTCCCTCCATCTCCAGAAGTGGGAAGCACTTGTACTCTCTTAAGCAGAAGCACTGAGGCTTGGTGTGGGCAGCCAGCCATGCAGTGCTCTTCACTCCAGTGCAGAGGGTGCCTGGCTGTCAGCAGTGACCACATCATGCCAACCACCATCGCTCACAGCCGAGGGGAGTGCATCACTCTGCACTGCATGTAAAGCAGAGGGAGGGAAGGGCCCTGTGCCTTGTCCCCAGCCCAGGAGTCTGCTGCAAACCCTTGCAGCCTGGTGCCAGCTCTGCAGTCAGCAGCAGAGGATCTTGAGGAAGGCTTTGCGGAAGTCAGTGTTGAAAGTTGTGTAGATGATGGGGTTGAGTGCACTATTGACATAGCCAAGCCAGGTGCTGGCACTGTAAAGCCCTGGGGGCACACGGCAGGATGGGCAGTGGGCGTTGAGAATGTGAATCAAGAAGAAGGGCAGCCAGCAGACTATGAATGCTCCTGGGTTTAGAGAAAAGCAGAAAACAATCCATGAGTTTAGAGAAACAACTACTTCGAAAGGGACCTGCACTTCTGCCCTCTCCCTCCATCCCCTCACTATTTCCATGCATGTGTCTGCAGTCCACAAACACTGAAGGCAACATTTATTCCTGACACCAAAGGGCTTGGCAAAAGCTCAGGCTCCTTGAGACCAGCTTTGTGAGTGGATAGATGGGGCTTCAAAACTGGCCTAGTGACAGACAAAAGCAAGTGGCCAGAATTTAGAAGGAAAGACTGCTGCCTCAGCTGCTTAAATCAGTTACGAAGCGGGCTGCATTATTACCCTGCTACTACTAAGTTAACGAGGGGAAATTGCATCTGGTGACCATAGCAGGTGACTGCTGAATCTAAATACTGTATTAAGAGATTCTGTGCTCCCAGAAGCCCCAGACCATTACTCCTTGCACCCCACTAGGCATAGTGGCTCTCACTCACCCAGGACAATTGCTAGCATCTGTGTAGCCTTCCTTTCCCGAAGCTGGATCAGTCGGGGCTGCTGGTGTGCTAGCTTCAAAGCACTGATGGTTTTGCCATTGCTGAGCATCTGTACTTCCACTTCTGGCTTTGTACTATTTCCCCTCTCTTCGAACCTGCTGTTTTGTGTAGTCCTTGGTGTCTTGGTGACGGATGCCTCATGGCAGAAGCTTCGGTACCGTTGCAGGCCGAAGACAGTCAGCAACTTTTTTCTGGTAGCCATCTCCTGGCCTGTGCATTTGAGTGGGAAACAGGGGAGAAACGTGCCTTGGCATCTGTTTGGCAAAGCTTTTCTCTCCCTGTGTTCCTGCAAAAGAGGATGCCACAGAGGAACTGGAAACCATCCAAACTGTTCATTGGGTCAGAAGAAGATGAGGAAAGTTATAGGAGTCATCCTTAGTCCCACTTGCCTCTTAGGTTTTAACCATATGCTCTGGACTGACCTGAGGGGTGAACCAGCTCTGGACATCTCTCTGCCTCCATTCGGAAGCATGAGCACAATAAGAGCAGACACACCTGCTCTGCTAACCTTTCATTTGTATATTTGTGTTGGCTCTGCTCCCCTCAACATCCCCACCCTTTTAATGTAGCTTCACTGTGTGAAAATGGGTAAAAGTGGATATGCATGACCAGGTGATTCCTTTCAAACTGTTGTGCTGGTTCCCATGGTTGCAGATATATCATCTAGAAAGGTCAGTGGAACAAATGCTCCATGCACCATGAGCATTTTGACCTCTTCAGTCTGTCAGACGAAGAGGCTTTTTTGTTTTAATGGTAGAGGTTAAACCCTGTGAAGCCCTGAGAATGAAGTTTCATAGAGCAAAAATCAGTAAATGAAGACATTAAAATCAATAAATGAAGAAATTAGCTAGACTTATGCATGGCTGAGAAAGCCTTGCTCTGAAGAAATATTGAAGTAGGCCGTGCTCTTTTCTAGTTGCCAGTTCTAGAGGGCAGGGATACACAGGGAGTATCCTCTTCCTAGAGGGCTGAAAAGGACTTAAGTGGAGCTTCTGCATCTCAAATATCATGGTGTATGAGCAAGGGATGGGATGAAAACATGTCATGTCCCTCCTTATGCTTTCTGTTCTGTGCTTTGACCCTCTGAGGAGAAGAGATGAAGAATGCCCTGTCCTTTTTGACCGCTCCTACTGCATTCATGTGGATCTTACTTTGTGTGCATAACACGGTTTGATGCTGGCGCTGTGGCTGCCCTGGCGGGTGAGGGTTCGCTTCTTTTGTCTTTGTCTTAGTACGAGGTAAATCCGGACATAGAGCAGCAAGATCACCATGAAGGGGAGGTAGAAGGACACCAAAGAGGAGTAGATGACGAAACTAGGGTTGGATATGGAACAGACACTGGGATCCCCTGGGGAGGAGAAGAGAGAGAGAGAGGAGTGGCTGAGCTGCTTCGGTTTTGTACAAGGAGGCTCTGGTGTGTTGGCAAAGTGAGTCAAAAGGTGAGTGGGGGACAAAGACAGTCCAAGGAGTGTAAATTATGCTGGGGCTGAGCCACTCACCTAACTGCTGCTTAAAATGGACTCTACATAGGTCCATCTAGCATTAGCCAGCATGCATCTGCCTGTTTTTTTGGCCAACAGCTCTGTCCTCTTCTCTCATGTCTATTCCCATCCTTTCTCAGAGGATTTTGTCTTCTTTCATCCTTTCTCCCATTCTTTTGACAGCCTCTGAGCTGTCTAGATGCAGAGGTGAGCCTTCACCCCCACCTGTCTGGACCAGGCAGAGGGGGCCAGCAGCACTTCCCACTCTCATCCCCTTCTGCCTCAAGCACTGCATAGAGGATGGATGGGAAGCAGAGGACTTCTGGCTGTGGCTCACTGAGGAGGAAGGCTTCCATGCTGCTCTGCCTCCAGGGAGAACAGGTTGCCCTAGCTGAGGGAAAGGAAAAAGACCAACCTGCTTCCAAGGTGGAGGCTAAATTGCTTGTTCTTCTCAAGAAATTAGCTAAGGAAGCAGACAGCAGTTGGATGGGAAGGAGGTTTCTCACAAGCAGGGCTAATATGCAATCCTTGCTGTTTAGAAACGTCTTGTATCAGATTTAAAACTGTGTGTCTGGACCTGTTGATATTGACAAGATGCTATTAAGTCTGATGTGTGTGTGTTTGATGTGCTGCACCTCTGGAGATTCACTCTTTGTGCTCAAAGTGATTATTTGAGGGAGATCTGTAGACCTGGACACCTTGATGGACATTGATTTGGCAGTGGAGCAGGCACATCTGCCCTCAGAGAAATAGTCAGTGTCTGGCTGAGTAAATGGCAAGTTTATAGACAAGAGCACATGGAGATTTTTCTCACCCTTCATAGTGTGCTTTCCAGTTCCTTAAAGTTTCCTGTAACTTGGCAAGTCTGCAGGAGTCACGTTAAATGACCTGGCTGTACACAGGGCAGCTCCATTTCCAACCCCCCTCTGTGTGCTATTGTTCAGGACATCACCTACCTGTAGTGTTGAAGCCGAAGAGAAGAGGGCATGACACGGCAAACGCCAGTATCCACACTATCACAATCATGAGCCCAACCCTCCTGCAGGAATTCTGCCCAGTGCTGTACTGGTACTGAACTGGTTTCACCACTGCAGTGTATCTGCAGACCAAATCAGCTCCAGGAAGAGGAGATGTAAAAGTGGAGGGAGGAAAAGGACCAGGTTTTAAAAGGAGAAATGAAAGCAACATAGGGTGAATGTGGTGAAGAAATGGAAGAGGAAAGAAGATCAGATGATGGGATCAGCAATTTGTAGAAATGGTAAGTGGGGCATTGCGGGGAGGAACAGAGGAAATCAGAGTTAGTTGGCAGCACTCAGAAACGCTCTGCAGAACTGACAGCATGTAAAGCTACAAGGTTTGGGATACCAGATGGATCTAGAAACCCCAGGAAACCCACAACCCTCAAGCCCCTAAGGTTACATGTGCAGGAAAGAACACTCTCTGGAGTAACCACAACCTACTAAACTCTTCATCTCAGCTGCCTGGTCTGGTGTCAGCTTGACTGACAGACAAAGCATTGCCCATGGGCTGGTGTTCAGGACCTTCAGCAGCCAGGGTGGCCCAGACAATACAGCTCAGCAAGGCCAGGACTTGGAAGGCACAGGAGTCTCATCTTTAGGATAGCCAGGGGGCTGCTCCTTGCAGGCAGAGCCAAAATGAAACAGGGATAAAGATTCCCATGGAGGAACACTGGAACAACCCACCATTGAATTACCCTTGAACCACATATTACAAAGGTACAGCATGCAGTATTTTCTCCTTTCCCCACTCCTTGGTCCTAACAGCACCATGTGTGCCAAGGTCTTGGCTCCCAATCAGCATTGCTTAAAATAGGCTGAGTTTTAAGATGCAGCAAACCAGAGCAAAGCTGAAGTTTACACAGCAATAATCTTCACCTCTCCCTATGCTTATAGCAGGATTTTGTTTACTAAAACTTCATGAGTGAGGTCTCCAGAAGAAACCCTCTCTGAGACTCAATGGGAATTAGATGACCAATTCTGATCCCTGCTTTCAAAAAGCATGAGGATGGGGTTGACTACCTGCAGGGCATGTTTTATTGCTCATGTCTCTCTGCCCTCCAGCGCAGACATGTTCTAGCATATGGCAGGCAGAGACACATTAATAGCAGTAGTGGCAGTGACAGACTTGCAAGGAGATTCATGGTCCTGAAGACACCAATGCTGCCTGTGCAACCCTAATTTTCTTGTCCTTGCCACACTGGGGTACAGGGCAACCCCCATATCCAGATTATCCCCCGGATGCTGTTGTCTCTCACCTGTCAATGCTAATAGCACAGAGGTTTAAAATGCTGGCTGTGCACATCATTACATCCATGGTGACGAAGATATCGCAACAGATGCGGCTGAATGTCCAGACTCCTCCGGTCACCTGCACCAGCAACCACAAAACTGTCAGCCTTGTTCTGCACCAAGTCCTGACAAGTTACATGTAAGGAGGTATTCTCAAAATATCTCAACAGCCAGATTGTGATGTGCAGAGGGAAACTGAGGCACCTGTGCTGTGTGCAAGATAACACAGCAGTAGGTCACGGAGAAGGAGCCTCACCTTAATTTCAATCCTTTATTTGCTCTTGCAGAGGGAGGCAGGGTGAAGAAATAGCAGCTATCCCTTCCCTCGAGGCCTAGCATGATAAATTGATTTAAATTTGACATTACTGTATCTCTCTTTTGATTAAGGATTATCTGAGAAAATCTAAGGGCTGAAAGTGTTTCTCAGCTTAGCTGCTGGAGTGCTCTTGCAGGCAGTGAGCTGGAAAAGTGCTGCAAATTTTATGCATTTATGTATGAAAGATCTGAGACTGAGGCTTCTCTAAAACCTTATTTGGATTCTTATCTCATTTACAGATTCTGATTATTAGATCTGAGTGAGAACTCAGAGGCTATTCAGATAAAGGGGCTTGGGTTGCTACCATGTTGAGCTTCTGTCTTGGTTGTTTTGAATTTTTAATCTGAAGTGCATAGTAGTGAAAGCTCAGCTACAGCCAGGCTTTGTGGTGGAGAAAAGTGGCTTTCGGACCAGCCATCAAATTCTTAACAATAAAATTTTGGCTGACAACAATGTGCTCCAAGCACTGTGTGGCCCTGTTCTCCTGGGATTGGGATGACAACCTGACTCCAAGTGAGATGGTCTGCCACAGCACCCACCCCTCATAGGATATGAACAAGAAGGCAGCCTGCCCTCCAACTGCAAACAAACCCAAGTGCTGTGTTGAGTGGGGAAGGGGGGTAGGAGAGAAAGAGGAAGGAAAGACCATGCTTGGGAGAGATCTTGCTGTTTCAGCTGGATCCTGGGAAGCTTATCAAGAATTGGCACTAGTTCCCAGTCCCTCTGCTTGCATTTAGAGAATATCTGGAGTACTGCATCTGATTTTGGGGCCCTAGTACAGAAAAAACATTGATAAACAGGAGTGAGTCCAGTGGAGAGCCACCAAAATAGTCTTTGGAGGCTGGAGCAGCACTGTCCTGGGAGGACCAGCTGAGAGAACAGGGCTTGTTCAGCCTGAAGAAGAGAAGACTTTGAGGGGTTGGAGGCTAACAGCAGTTTCTAGTGCCTAGGAAGAGGTTATTGGGAAAGCTGGAGGCAGGTTTCTCACAGCAGTGTGTGGTGGGAGGACAAGAGGCAACAGGAATGAGCTGGGAGAAGGTGCAAACTGGTTATGAAGGTAACCTTTCTGACCACAAGGACAGTGAGACCATGGAGCCAGTTGCGTGATAAGTCTGTGCAGGATCCATACTTGGAGGTTTGCAAGACCAACTCAAAAATACCCATCCTAGATCAGGCTGGAGAGGGTGCCACAAGTAAGCTTGGCTTCTAAGGCAGTGGGTCAACCCTGCAGCAAGTGCTGATGCCTAGGAAGAACATGGTTCCCTGTAGAGACAAGCACTTGTACAAAAACAGAACTCACTCTGTGCAAGTTGTTTAAGGAACAGTCTGATAAATGGTTTTGATAGTGCCAGCATTCCCACACACGGGCACAGACACTCACTGAGGTGAGCTGTGTCTTCAGGGTGTTCTTTGCTGAACCTAGCTGCTACCTTTCAGAAGTCAAGCATTGAACAAGGCAGTCTTCCATTAGACCCTCTGAATGAATGCAGGGAAGAGAAATGGGAATTGGCTTGCAAAGTGCAGTAGAGAACTGTGCTTTTCAGTTCTCTGATACTTGTGGGGTTCCTTTGTTTTTCTTAAAAAAAACCAAAGAAAGAAAAGCAAAAAAAAAAAAACAACAAAGGAAAAACCCCACCCAAACCAAACCTTTTGAGCTCTTCTGCAGCTAGGTGAGCAGCAAGACATGCAAATTGAAGGCTGTACCTCTGAAATTAGGGACCTTAATAGCAGGTTCAGTTTCCAAAGAAACCCCACACCGATTTTACTTTAGTTGCAGAATTTGAGATCTGCTTGACCACCTCAAAATATATTATAACAAGCCAACAAAAAAAAAAAAAAATCAATGCTGGAAGCCTTTGCAGTGGGACACAGTAAGGGATGCTTCTGCAGTCTGAGGCAAAACCCAATGCAGTTAGTATGTGATCTGTGGAGTCTGAAGATTGTTTCACGAGGAGACAGTGGCAGGTGTTCACATCAAAGCCAGCTGCTGCAAGCCCAGCAGATGTGTAAGCACTTAACTGAGGGAGTTTCCAAGGTCCTGAGTGCATTCAAATGCTAAGCCCAAGAATGTGAACCATTAAAACTGAGGAAGGTGCTGGTGGGAATGGCTCTGAAGTGAGCCCTCTCAGGATGATGCATTCAGATCACACCACCTGCAAACTAAGCTGCAGCTTGTGTTAAGAGGATGCTCAAAAGATCAAAACGTTTGGGTTTAAAACCCATTCTCACTTCCACCAGCCACAACTTCTAAAATGGGGAGTAGCTCTGCTGAAGTCAGTGAAGTAGTTAATGTTTACCTGTGGGTATGTGAACCCAGACCTGAACAACAAAGAAGAGCCTTTTTATTATATGCCTTGTTCATAATTTTTTGAATTCTATTTCTGCTCTTCCTTTTACTGCTCTGTTCTGCTTATCTTTGCCACAGCAGCTAGAACTTGCTAGTGTGCATTTCTGGTTTTCATGTGCTGGCAGGGTATCTGTTCTTTATCCCTCTGTGCCTTTTGACCAGGAATCTCAAAGCACACCCCAGGTATTAATTGAATGAATCCTCACATCTACCCGGCCGAGGTGGATGGTCAAATATAATTCTCTTACAGCTCATGAGAGCAAACCACAGAGAGATGAGCTGATACAATCGCTCATTACCACTCAGTCAGTGTGCAGGAGAAGTGGAAATAGTGTCCAGGATTATATCCTTACTTTGTCAAACACAATACTAACGCTCCCTATAGACTATTCAGATCAGGTTCTCACCTTGTCTTTCTTGATGACCAGTCTGCTTTATCCACAAAATTTTGGTACTAGTATTTTTAGCTTTTCAACCCTATAGGAAGCCTTCCAGTTAATGAATTACAGTGATTTACTTTTTTGAAACTTATGCAAATCCATCACTCTCCTGAATCCTTAAAATAAACAAAAGAATCTCTGTAATTCCGATATGAATGATGCTGCTGCATTGAGGAGCACATGGATGGGAAATGAGGAAACCAGTTTGCATCAGGCATGACAGACATGTAAGTAGTGGTGCATCTAAGCATGCTCACTGAAGGGAACGAGCTTCTTATTGGGGGTGCTGTTAGATCCTGCATCTGTGAAATGGCTGCTCATGGTTTTGCACAGTGGGAGTAAAAAAGAGCAAGTAGATGGTCAGGCCTGCTGACAAGCAGTGAACTGCTGACCTGTAGTAACTCAGCTTTCTGTCCTCCCTTTGACAGTAGTCCAGTGGAGCTCCTTGAGCTAAAAGAGCAGTTGCAGGTCTTGGTGTTCCAGTGTAAGAGACACAGAAGAGCAGACAGTCTTACCCTCACACGCTCTGAACAGATTTGATCTCAGTGACAACTGTCTTCTGAAGCTTTCTTCCACTTTGGAGGTAGAACTGGATGTTGTATAAAGGCTGAGAAGGATGTTCTTGGCTGTGCTGCTACATGTCCTCCTCCATTTATTCAATGACTATAAGACATGATGGTGTTTAATGCCATCAGACTCCAGTGGGCAGGGTATCCTAATGCCACTGTCTTAGAAACTGTGGTGTGCTTCAGCAGTCATGCCAGACACAGCATCAGAGATCAGTAAAGAACCAGGACAACAGTGCTGGTATATTAGACCTCTGACAAGGACAACAGTGCTGGTATATTAGACCTACCCACTGACCCCAGACATTGCTAAATAGCCCTTTTGTGCCAGAAACTTCATTAGTTGGAGATGAGGATTTTGAAGCTATAAAATGTTCCTATTGCTGCTCTGTCACAGCCTTTCCAAAAGATGTCACAGAAAGAGACAGTTCTGGTCTGCATGATTGATAAAGTAACACATTTCACGGCCACAGATGACTCTAAAAATGCAGTGTAAAGCACAAAGTTCACAAGGGACATTTAAATCTGAGGCATTCATCCACCTTTAGCTTTCCCATATATAATGGCCAGGTCTCAAATGTCTTGTTTGGCAAACATTCAGTAGATGAAGAGTTGTACATGGTTTTGGGGACTGAATGATTTTTTTTTCAATTTCCAGGCTCATGGTGTATTGAAGCATGATGCCATTTCTGCTTCATTGGTAGCATCACTGATCCACGAACAGCAGCAAATATTGAAAAACTTTGGGGCTTTTTAGACTGTTTTTTAAATCTTAGTCTTGCTGGAGTCTTACAGCCCCATTCTCTAGGGGAGACTGCGCAATGCTGGGAGTGGTAGTTTGGGTTAGGGATGTGTGTGGGTTCTTTTCCCTGTTATCTGGACGACTCTTGGATCAGCTACTTTGATTTTAGAGGTTGCACAGGAAATGAATCCTGAGTGGGTCTACAAACACAACTAGGGAACAGACCGGCTGTTGTGATCACAAATCAAGTCTGCACGGGCGGCAGACGCTGCTCCGCACACGTGCCTCAGTCCCACCCTGTCCACAGCAAGAGCAAGTGACAAGCCTTTTCTAATGCAAGGCAGAATGTGATTTTGTTAAAGATTGCAGTGTACTTGAGCTGATAGACTATTCCACTCTGAAATAAAATCTGACTTTTAATAACTTTTTAGGTGCAATCAAACTGCAGTCTAATTCTGCATTGCTGACTTCCCACATGCACACACTTACTCCTTTCTTTTTAATAATTCAATGTGGCACACCTAAGCTGTGACATCCTGCAGGCCAACTCCAGGACTACTCCACAAAGGCTAGTCTAAACGTTGCTACGTTCAGACTATTAGGAACATGATCATTACGAACATGATCACTCATGCAGTGTGTGGTTAAATTCTGCTAATTTTTCCTAAGATGGACTCACCTCCAGGTACACCACCCATGGCATCACCAAAGTAGCCACCAGCAAATCCGCCACTGCCAGGCTCACCACAAGGTAGTTGGTAGTGGTTTGCAGGGTGCGTTCCCTCAGCACAGCTAAGCAGACCAGCACGTTCCCAAAGATGATGGCCAAAATCAAGATGCAGTAGCAGAGGGGGTAATAGGCATGTGAGCGCGGCAGGTCATGCTCTGTAGTGTTGTTTGCCCCACAGGGGATGGGGTTGGTGGTGTTAGGTTGACTGCTGGTTCTTGCAAAGAGAGCCATTGGGATGCTGCTACAAAGGGAAGCAGAGAAATGACAGAAAATCAGACCTCTACAATAACTGTGGGGAACAGTACCTTCTGTGGATGGTGTATGATTTTCATACTTCTGTTATGAATGCTACTTCAAGCTAAGCATAAATGTCTTTTTTCTGTTCATATATAGGCAAAGCTTTGCTTGGCTTACTTGACCTGTTCTGGTTTTCATTGAATCTAAGCCAAGAGTAGAATGTCAGATTTCACCTCCTGCCTGCACCTGAAAGGTGTATCTTACCAACCAATGCAGCTGTAGGGAAGTGGCAATGATTTTAAGAGGCACCAAAGTCACACCACAGTACAAGTCAGCTGGGCAAGAGTGCAGTCTGAAAGACAACAGTTTGAAATGCTGAGGAAGACAGTTACCCAAACTAGGGCTTGGCCTGAACCTTGGACCTTGTATCTTTTCTACTGAGAAGTACCCTCTGCTTTCCCTTGTCAAAAAAACATCTTCAATAACTTCACCCACTCCAGGGCTCCACAGCCTGGCAGGGAGGCTGTACCTGCAAAGCTCATGTAGCCTCTAGAACCCTGCCTGCCTGGCAGCAAGCACC